AACCAATCAAGTGTGTAAATGGTTAACGAGTTCGCCGTCAAACATTAGGGCATGAGTTCAACCCCTAGTCGGATCGCGTACTGTTGAAGAGTCCCGCACTAATTGGACGAAACAGCTGTCCAGTGCTCTCAGATTTCCAATGGTTCCCCAACTGATTTCAGTTCATGATGAATACTACCTGTAAATTTAAAATCCCTATTTATTTCAAATATACGCAATGCTTACATGTTTAAAGGTATGTATACGGAGTTGTACCACCTGACCATCTACCAGTGACATATATATACAAGCGCAACTTTATTCGAAACAAACCTGTCATAATTATTATGATGATTGTTTTTGTTGCATCAGTACACATATCTGTTTACATAAAATTTTAGATAGATAAATAAATATGGTGAATAATTCAAGTTGTTATTCATCGTAGACTGACAACAGTTGGATGAACAAAGGAAACCTGGGAGCACTGGACAGATGTTTCGTCCGACTAGTATGGGAACTGGTGCTCATTGGTGACTAACTTCGAGAGGTATTCCTGAAGTTCCAATGAGAAGTCGTGACCAGTGAGGGCAAAGCCTGATGGTCGTGAGGACAATTACTCAATGATGACATCAGGTGGCGGTTACACTATATCGTGAGCTAACAGAAGTTGGAAATATTGACGATTGGATTCTGACCCAGTGACCAGCTTAATGGTAACGCGCTGGTCGCGTAACTTGAAGGTGACGGGTTCGATCCCTGGCTGGCGGGGTCGTGGGTACGCATTGCTTAGAAGTCCCATACTAGTTGGACGAAAGAGCTGTACAGTTCTCTCAGGTTTCCTTTTTTCCTCCAACTGATGTCAATCTATGATGAATAACAACTTGAAATATTTCCAAATTCCCATAACTCCTTCAAAATTCAAATATAGTGAACATTAGATTGGTTTATTTAGTAAGATATATTCTTTGTTCCTATAAAAATTAGGCATAACTCTTGAATGAATCACAACATTATATTATATTTAAGCGGATGATAATGCAGCATTTTATAGAAACGTAGGATTAAGATAAGTGTGATTCTCTACTGATCTTTTAGTTAACTAATCCCATAGCCTACAGAACAAATCGAAATATTCAACTGTTGATCAACTAACTGTCAATTCAACTTTATACGCTTAGGAAATCACTCAACTGTAAGGCAGTAAGTGTGAATAAAAAACACACAGAAAATCATAGACTAGGATATTTGTGCATGCTCTACACAACATAATTTCAAGTTCACTTATCTTTTGCAACAATTTACTACTTTATTCTGAAGCTTCTAGACACCTGTAAAGATTTCTACTATGTATTTTAATGAGATACTTGAAACCATGTCCATGAATATAGGTTATCGTCAACACTGTGTCCAATAAAAACGCTGCTTAGACATTAACATTAGCGCCTATCGTACGCTGTTTAGTTTACCCTCCAGAAATTTGTTGCGCGTTCTTTGAACAACAAACTACGAAGTTAATAAATTTTATTATTAAAAGAAGGGGGATCCTGATTGGTCGAAATTTTTTTTTTTTTCAGTGACACTGATGATTGAATAAATAAGTTACCTGTGAGACAACCTTAAATGTTCAATATTTCATGTACTTTGTCTGTTGCGAAGTACAAGTGACCCAATTAACCAACGTTTTCATCTTCTTTGACTGAGTCATTTTTTAATCTATAATAGTTTTTCCAGAGAACTGGCAATAAGTTTACGAACTTCAGTTGAAATTTGTACTGGGTGATGATTGAACGTGAAATGAAAATTTGTACCGCGACTGCGCTCGAACCAGCGACCACCGTGTTTCCCACCCGATGCTATACCAACTGAGCTACGAGGTCCCACTGCTAACCAGATTTTTATTCCACTTCAATCACCAAGGTTTTTGCCCGACTACCAGGTGAATTTGTGACGCGTTACTACCACTTGATAGTATTCACACTGGCTGTCTAGTCAGGACTTTCCATTCTCATCGATATCTAACTGAATCAGAGATGGAGAATATCATATGGACTATCGTTTTAACTATCCGAGATAGGTGTGGTTTGGCAAACTGGCACTTCTACTCGAGTAAAACCTTTGGTGATTGAAGTGAAGTAAAAATTTGGTCAGCAGTCAGACCTCGTAACTCAGTCGGTAGAGCATCGGATCGCTGGTTCCAAACCAATCGTGGTACAAATTTTCACTTCTCCTCAGCCATCACTCAGTATCAATACTAGTCTGCCAAACGATGGTTATCTCAGGTAGTCGAAAGGATAATTAATATTAGATTCATCGTGGTGACTAGCAGCTGAGGAGTCCCGAAATGGGACGAAACGTGGGTCCTGGATTCCTCTGCGAATCCCTAAGATGGATATAACATCATGGATATACGGTAATATCAAGATATCTAACACAGGTCGAGCAATTCGATCCGGTATATGCCATAGCTCGACGATAAACTATTGATCCGTCAGTTTTCTTGATCATTAATTACTTAGGGTTTTCAGGATAGTCATAGTTCGAGAGCATTCAGTTAATCGATAATTGCATTTTAACTTATGTAAAACACTCAGGGCATACCAACCGATTATTACATTATCATCAATTCGTACCATTGAATCAATATTGTTTCATAATAGCTTCGTATCGGATACCATCACAAGACATTCAGACGTATTAGTTGTTCATATAGTCTGTTTGTCAAATCTATGAGTAAATATTCATGAGATTGCAATTACACTGTGAAGTGTTTCAAATGTCATCTAGCTTCTTATATAACTAACTGTTAAGTGATACTTGAATGGTTTTATACTGGGTTCATTATACCGGTAGGTTACTTCAGGAGAAGAATTAGTGTAGTGGGGAGATTGTCAATAAACTGATTTCTCTGGAAATATCCCACTTGTATAGTCATTTTTAGATTCAGCTCATGAACATCTTGTGAAGGTCAATCAGTTTGATATATTTCCATTTAGAAATTATTAGAATGGAATCACTTTTCTCGAAATGAATAGAAATAGTCAACTAGTTGTTAATAAAGATCACTGATATAATAGAGTCTTTTACGTATCCAGTGTATAGATGGAAGCAATCACCACTGAAGACAATCGTTTCTGTATCTATAATCGATAATGACCAAATATTTATCACCTGATTACAGTTCGATTAAATTATTTATCGTTTAACTTTTGCTGATCTGATAAAAAAAACCTGGTTATTATTATTATTTCGTTTTTCCCTTGGGTTCCTAGTGAAACACAGTGCTTCAGTAGCATGCCTCCATTGTATTCTGTTCTCCTCAGTCTTTCCAACGTCACTCCACGAATGCCCACAAGCTTTTATTTCATCCCCACACCATCTCCTCCACTTCACCATCGCCTCAGACGCCCAACTCATCGTTCCTCCTTCGGATTACACTCCACGGTCTAGCCTGGCGAGTGATGTCCCCAGACGGCCTTCTCAGTGTATATCCAATCCGTCTCCACCTCCCCTTTCTTCCTCTGCATATTAGTTGAGTGATAAGTTATTGCTTCGTTGGTTCGTTCCCACAGTTCCTTGTTGATTATTTTCACTATTCTGGCCATCCGACCTTCAGTATGGAGTGAACGTAGGTGGCAGCTGTTGATGAATGTCTGTAGTTTGTTGGAAATGTTTTTCGTGATGCGCCAATTTTCGATACCAGATAGCAGCACTGACTCGACTGATGTTGGTGTTTAAAATCCGGATGTTGTTGACGCTTTATGCTGAGTGCAGTAGATCTCCACACTGGGAACAATATCATCACTCATTGGGAAACAGGTACATCCAGTTGACGGGTCCCAAATAGGACAAAATTCGCGTCAAGCTGGATTCCACTCCTAGCTACTATTCACCATGAATGTATAATTCGCAGAAAGCAAAAAAAATATAGAGACGTCTGTGCACCAGCCCATATGCCAATAGACACTCATCAGCTCAGTTCAATCAACAATGGATAATACAAACAACAACACTAACAAATTAAACTTGATTTCAACATTTATGCTGATATGGAATAATCCCAATTCCAGAAATAAAATTCATTTTGACCGCGTACTGCTTTCAAATATGAATAAGGTAAACGTAAAAGATATTATTTTTGAGATGAATGGTGATTTTTAATTAAGAAGTAGTATTCATCATGGACTGACATCAGTTGAGGAACCATTGAGAATCTGGAAGCACATTACTGTATAATGCTCATTAGTAACTTGCATCCAGATGGATATAACGAAGCTCTAATGAGAAATTGTGACCTGTGCGGTCAACCAGTCGTAAGTGAAGCGGATGCTAACTGAAGACCTTGGGTGATAGTCATGTTATGTCGTGAATTGACTGAAGTTGGAAATTGTGAACCGGTGGAAACTGACCCAGTGGTTGAATGGTTAACGTGTTGGCCGTAAAACCTTAAGGTCCTGAGTTCGATTCCTAGCCGGGTCGTGGATGTGTACTGTTGAGGAGTCCCACACCAGGAAGAAACAGCTATTCAGTGCTCCCAGACTTTCAATGACTCCCCTAACTGATGTCAATCCATGGTGAATACTACCTCTAAATAAAAGATATTAGTTTACATTATTATTTGTTTATATTTGTAGTAGTTCATTGTTATACTCGATCCCTAGAATACGACCAATGTTGGCAGATGGGCTCTTGCATGGATTACTTTATATTATCTGAACATTTATTGTTATAGTTGATTTAGTCCTGGCTATCGGTGAAATTTAGTATGCACGTTTCATCCTATATGGAACTTGTAGGTACATTCAGGTACTTGCAGGCACACTCAACTGATGAGCCTTAAATAGAACGAACCGTTCATCAAGCTGGATTCCACTGATAGCGACAAATAAGTCACTTATATTGGTTTAAAGTTTACTATTCTATATAACATATTCTAGTCAATAGTAAGTGTATATCTTATCTTGAGATAAAGTCGAAAAAATAAACGGCAAAATTAGAATTTGTACTAATTCAAAACTTACTTGTTCCAAAGGTAGTATAGCTCGTCCACCATGATCATAGTTTTTGAAGATAGCTACGCAAAAAAAAAAAAAAGAATCATAACTTGCGTGTAAAAACGTTGAAAAACGCAAGTAAAACTCGACAGAAGGAATAAAAATTTCTCTGAGTTTCAGTATGAATAATAATAGTAAGAATAATAATAAATACGTTCCCTGTACAGTGTTTTTTTTAACCGAGCCTAGTTAACTAGTTCATTAGTTACTAGCCTGTCCTAAGCCTAGGTAAAGAGGGAAGGTTGGGCATAGGGCTAGCAACCCTACCCCGTAAAACAAATCTAACCACTAAAGAAACTTCACAGCACAAACAAAATATAAAAAATAATAACAAAATTATTCCTCTCTGGAATCGGAGAGGCGAAATCATACCAGTTAATGAAAGCCTACGGGAAATCAATTGGCCGATGTGTCTTCTCTCCCCAGATGAAAGCGAAAGTAAGGATGGGGACATGGAATGTCCGCACCATGTTTGAACACAGTAATACTGCCCAGATTGCCAACGAGATGAAGAGGTACCACACTGAAGTGCTTGGAATTCGCGAAAGCAGATGGAATGAGAGTTGACTCTTCAAACTGTCAACTGGAGAATCAATAATCCACTCTAGTCACCCAGACGACAACCACGAGCATAGCACACTGAGTTTTGGAGTGGCTATCATGATGTCCCATTCAACAGCATCGAAGGCTCTCATGCAGTGGGATTCAATCTCCTTCAGAATCAAGATTATGACAGCAAGATTCAACTCGAAAGGAAGGAAGGAAGGAAGGAAGGAAGGTCACAATCATACAATGATACACTACGCACCTACAAATAATGCAGTGCAAGAGAAGAAGGAGGAGTTCTACAGACAACTTCAATCAACACTGGACAAGACGTCAGTTGGCGATATCAAAATTCTAATGGGTGACATGAATGCCAAACTGAGAGCAGACAACACAGGAAGAGAACTAACCATGGGTAGAGAAGTGCTCGGTGAGGTTATGAACGAGAATGGAGAATTGTTTGCAGAATTCTGTGCATTCAACGATTTGGTGATTGGAGTCAGGCAGTGTGTTCAAGCACAAGGATATCCACAAAGCGACTTGGATTTCACCAGACACCAGGACACAGTAAAAATCAGATCGACTTCACCTCAATCTGAAGAAGATGGAGACGCAGCCAGCCTACTTGACACAAGGTCAAGAAGAGGAGCAGATGTAGGTTCAGACCACTATCTAAGGCAAGGAATCTTTCAAATCAAGTTGAAAGCCTTCAAGGAAGCTGACGATAGACCGCAGTTCAAGTACAACACTCGGAACAGAAACTGAAGGACGAAACTACAAAGGAAGTCTTCATGCCAGCCATCAAGACAAAATGGGAGATATCGAGGAACATCCCTGAAGAAACCTGTGTGGAAGAACACTGGAAGTCTTTGAAAGAGATGTGGAAAGAAACCTGCATAACCTTGTTAGGAAGGAGATAGAGCAGGGAGAGGAGGATGGTGAAGCAGAAGATAAACCAGTGCAAGGATGCTCAACGACAAGAGGAACTGAGTACAATGTATAAAACACTACACTGGACAAAGAAGTGAAGAAGAGTGCACGCAAAGACAAAAGACACTTCTACAAAACAGTGGCAAGTGAAGCAGAACAGGCTGCAGGTAGGAGAGACAGAGACCTGACAACATTGTATCAAATAACCAGGTTATTGCTTTCTGGGAGGGAAGAGATCAACATACATGAAACCAATAAAAGATGATGAAGGGGATTTATTTACCAAAGAAGAGAAACAAAGGAAACAATGGGCCGACCACTTCAAACAGCTCTTGAATCGACCACCACCACCACCTGCACTTCATCCACAAATACCACCTACAGCCACTGAACTACAAGTGAACATAAATCCTCCAACAAAAATGGAAGTCCTGAACGCCATAAAGCTACAGAAATGCGGGAAAGCAGCAGTACCAGATGGGATCCCGCTAGAAGTACTGGGAGCAGATGCAGAGACAACAGCGGACATGCTCACATCACACCACTACTGCAGAAGGTGTGGAAGGAAGCGAAGGTACCTGGCCATTGATTGGAAGAAGGGTTACCTTGTCAAACTGCCGAAGAAGGGAGACCTCAGTGTTTGCAAGAACTAGTGTGGAATCACTCTCCTGTCCACCCAAAGCAAGCAAAATATTAGGCCGCATCATCCTGGAGAGACTAAAGGATGCACTGGATTCAAAATTACGACCGGAACAGGCTAACTGATTGGATTCAGGAAGTAAAAATCATGTGCGGACCAAATTGCAACGCTTCGCATCATTATCGGACAGAGTATAGAATGGCAGTCAACTGTACATGTACCTCAACTTCATTGACTTTGAGAAGGCCTTTGATAGCGTCGACCGAGAGGTAATTTGGAAACTGCTTCATTACTACGGAATACCTCAAACCTTTATCAACCTCATTCAACAACTATATGAAGACGCCACATGCCAAGTAATTCACAATGAGAAGCTCAGTGATGCCTTTGAAGTGAATACAGGAAGGAGTAAAACAAGGCTGTCTTCTAACATCCATGGTATTTCTGATTGAAGTGGACTGGGTCATCTAACAAACAGTGAGGAGCTGTGAGAAGAGGGGGGATACGCTGGTTGGACCGAGGAAAAGATCCTAGAAGATTTCGTATTCACCGATGACTTATGTCTAATGTCACACAAACTTGAAGATGTACAGGCAAAAACTAACAAGTTGACAGAAGATGCAGGGCAGCGAAGACGCGACTTAAAGTGAATGTAGAGAAGACAGAGGTGATGGAGATACCCACCCAACAACAACAAGCTGCAATCACCATCAATGGGAGAAACGTGTAGGAAGTAGGCTGTTTCACCCACCTTCCTAGAAAGCATTGTTTCAACTACAGGCGTCACAAGCACAGGCACAGGCACAAAGGAGAACGTGAAATTCAGGATGGGGAAGACAGCAAGACAGGTGTTCATTAACCTGAAATGATCGATGTGGAGATCTTCTGCACTCAGCATAAAGTGTGAACAAGATCCCGATTTTCAACACCAACGTCAAGTCAGTGCTTCTGCATGATTCAGGGAATTGGCGAGTTACTAACGGGATTTCCAATAAGCTACAGACATTCATCAACAACTGCTTACGCTCGCTACTGAAGATCAGATGGTCAGAATAATAGGAATAAGCAACATGGAGCTCTGGGAACGAACCAACGAAGCAAGGAGCTATCGCTCAACAAATATGCATTGGAAGGAAGTGTAGATGGATTGAGCATACACTGAGAAGGCCGACTTGGGACATCACAGACCGGGCCAGTTGCTCGAGTAGAACCCAGATGGGAAGAGACGAATTGGGCGTCCGAGGTGAGGGTGACATGGAAGAGATCGTGCGAGGAGGAAATGAGAGCTTTTGGGCTGTCGTGGAGCCAGGTTCAAAAGATTTCGGCGAACAGAGTTCACTGGATACGTGCTACTGAAGCGCTATGTTCCATTAGGAACCCAAGGGACTAATAATAATACAGTGTTTTTTTAATTACAAAGTCTATACACATAATCTGCAATAACACACTTATCATTTAAGAATAAATCAATGAATTTTGAGGGAGTTGTGGGGACATGGAAATATTTCAAGTTGTTATTCATTGTAGACTGACATCAGTTGGAGGAACAGACGTCGGAAATATGGAACATTTGATTCTAACCCAGTGTCTATCTCAATGGTAACGTGTTGGCCATGGAACCTGTAGATCGCGGGTTCGATTCCTGGCGGGGTCTTGGGTGAGCACTGCTGAGGAGTCCCATACTAGTCGGATGTAATAGCTGTCCAGTGCTCCTAGGTTTCCTTTGTTCCTCCTACTGATGTCAGTCTACGATGAATAAGAACTTGAAATAAATCAATGAATACTGTGAATACTTACCAAACACTTTATTCTCTGATAAATGGCATACTATTGAAGTATCTAATCTAAAAAACATATCTTAATAATTTCTGAGTTGTATACATACTTTCTACTATACTGTAAGAGATATCATATACATATATACGCTTTAAAAATTGGAACAGAAGAATAAGAATTTCCTTTTATCTCCTTTACTCTTATCAACTGTATACAACTTGATTTCATCGAATAGAAATATTTTTAGAGGTTAGTATTCACCACTAACTGAAATCATTTCGAAGACCTTTGAAAACCTAGTGACATTGGGTATTTTTTTTCATCCAAGTATCCAACTCCTTAGCTGTATACACGCATAATCCAACCAGAGATCGAACTTAGAACTTTCAGGTCCCCTAGCGATCATATCACCCCACTTGATGCACTGGGTCAGAATCCAATGGTTCATATTTCGCCCACTTTTCTCAATTCAGTATGTTTGCTTATATTTAAGTTAGGCTACTCATTAAAACATCCGAAAATCTCATCTCGAAGCTGGTGACTGGTGAGTGAAGTTATACTAGTATAATGAATGCAACTAGGTTAAGAAACTAAGCGAATATGTATAATTCCCTGTTGTTAATTTTACAGATCTAAGTTATAAAAAGCAATAATCTGAACAATTGAGAATATTCTTTTCAATAAATTTCTCTCTTCACACTCTATAATTACAAAATACATTTGTACAGCGTAAACACAAGCCATGTTAGGGGCAGGTACATTTTCAAAAGTGGAGTGAGATCTAGGAATTGTTAGGGAATCGACTTACCTGTTTTAAATTAGTCAATATTCGGATGATACATATACAGAAGAATGATATGATGTTGAACAAAAGGATAATGAATAAGATGGTGGGAATGACTTTCAGTTTGCTGAAGACCAATAGATAAGTAACGCTTAGACATATTAATTTCAGAGTTCAGGCTTGATCAATCTTATTGCAACAGCCTCCACTATATTGAGGAGGCGTTGGCAAGTTACATGTGGTTTCGTTTTTTGGAACGCGATAAATACCATTGAAGGCTTTTTTAGCATCTATGCGATGCTCTGTATTGACTAGATTCGCTAGGATTGAACTTTTCACTTCAACCTTTCCGAACCAAGCTGGTAAATGTGCTCGTATCCGGAGATGTACCTGCCTAATCGTACGCCCTATGTAACTAGTTATGCAAGAAGAGTTAAACTGATGCATACAAGATGAAGAGCTAAGGTTATGTAGGCTATGCTTTTGTCTTGCAGTAAGCATTGGCGAACCACAGAATGATGTACAAAGCCGACCTGCATGAAACGTTGGATTTGTATATGATTCTGTGGTCGGCCAGTGCTTACTGTAAGACAAAAGCATAGCCTACACAACCTTAGCTCTTCATCTTGCATATATCAATTTAACTGTCCTTGCATAACTAGTTACATAGGGCGTACGATTAGGCAGGTACATCTCCGGATACGAGCGCATTTACCAGCTTGGTTCGGAAAGGTTGAAGTGAAAAGTTCAATCCTAGCGAATCTAGTCAATACAGAGCATCGCATAGATGCTAATAAACAAGCTACAATACTAAAGTGTAATTTATTTACCAACTGCTTTCGTAATAAGAGCCATAGCACTAATAAAATGTGGATAATCCAAGCGCCAATCCACGTTAACAAATCGATGTACAAGCTTTGAGAACAGTGTATGTGGAAGAGTATAACCTGGAACAGAAAAAAGATAAAAAATCACACTGTTAATAAAGCATATAACAATAGTGAAAATACCGAAGCAAGAAGCTTTTCATGAATACCATGCTATGATTTATCTGATCTAGTATAATGGTTTATTATTATTATTTATTATTGGTCCCTTGGGTTCCTAATGGAATATACGGCTTCAGTCGCACGTCTCCAGTGCACTCTCTTCTCTGCAAACCTCTGGACCTGGTTCCACCACAGCCCACGAGCTCTCATTTCTTCCATATACGATCTCCTCCATGTCACCCTCGCCTCCGACGCCCAACTCGTCGTTTCCCCTTTGGATTCCACTCGATGCACGGGCCTGGCGCGTGATGTCCCCAGTCGGCCTTCTCAGTATATGCCCAATCGATCTCCACCTCCTCTGTCTTCCTCTGCATATTTGTTGAGTGACAAGTTCTTGGTTGGTTCGTTGCCAGAGTTCCTTGTTATAGTGGTTTATTAGATTACTGCATTCCATCTATATTGAAACGATATTAAAGTCTTCATATTGTTGTTTGTATTATCCCGTCGTTGATAGGACTGAATTGATCGGAGTCTATTGGCATACGGGTTGGTGCACGGACGCCTCGATACTGCTAATGGATAGTGCCTAGGAGTTGAATCCAGCCTGAAGCGCGTTTTGTTCTACCTGTGACTCGTCAGCAGGATGCAACTGCCTACCAGTGAACACTACAGCTGGTCTCGCTTTCAAGTCCCAATGGGAATAATATCACTTAATGAGAGAAGGCAAGTACATTCAGCCGACGAGTCCCGAACAGAACGAAACGCGCACTAGGCTGAATTTCACTGCTAGCTACCATCCATCATTATTAGACTTAAATCAGTAAGAACTATTTCATGCCAGTCAGGCTAAATTAACTGACATATAGAGTAATCATTGCTTGGATCTAGGTGTAAGCTCACTTATCCTATATTTGTGAAGACAAGAGGTTCACCGAAGATATTTTCCTCGACAATTTTATTCTCAAGATTTCCAAGATAAATTGTGGTCAAAGGTAGTATGGAAACGAAATGAAGAGGATACTGGAATACTAAAATGTGTAATTATCATTTTATTATTATTATTATTTGGGTTCCCAGTGGAACATACGGCTTCAGTAGCACGTCTCCATTTCACTCTCTTCTCTCCAGTCTTTTCAACCTGACTCCACCACTGCCCACAAGCTTTCATTTCTTCTTCACGTGATCTCGTCCATGTCACCCTCACTTCGGACGCCCAACTCGTCGTTTCACACTTGGTTTCCACTCGACAGCCTGGCCTGGCATATGATGTCTAAAAAACAGTCTTCTCAGTGTATGCCCAATCCAGGTCCACTGTCTTCTCCACAGATGTTGGGCGACAGCTTCTTGGTTGGTTGGTTGACTCGTTGCCAGAGTGAGTTACTTTTGGCTTATTCTTTTTGGCCTTCTGATCCGATCTTCAGTATCGAGTGAGAGTAAGCGCAGCTGTCCATGTGTGTCTGAAGTTTGTTGGAAATGTTTTTCATAACTCGCCAAATCTCTCAACCATCACATAGAAGCACTGACTTACTTGAATGAATTAGTGTTGAAAATTCGTATTTTCTTCTCTATGATGAGTGCAGTAGATCTCCCCACTGATTTCAGGTTAATAAAGACCTGTCTTCCTGTTTTTGTGATCCTGGCTAAGTAACCAAGTTCTCTTCATTCTCTTCCGTTGGTTTCATCTCTGTTGATGTTTTACCTGGTTATTTGATATAATGCTGTCAGGTCTCCTCTACATGCAGTCTGTTCTGCTTCACTTGCAAGTGTGTCGTAGAAGTATCTTATGTCTCTCTGTGCACTCTTCTTTACTTCTTTGTCTAGTGTTTTATACGTAGTACTCAGTTCCTCTTTTCGTTGTTCATCCCTGAACTGCACTGGTTCATCTTGTGCTTCACCATCTTCCTCTCCCTCCTCAATCAGCTTCCACGTGTCCATCAACATCTATCGCTTGTCTTGTTTCTTCTTAATTCCTAGCACGGATATGCAGAATTGCTTACACATCTCCTTCAAAGAGTTTCAGTGTTCTTTCACTCAGGTTTACAAAGGGATTTTCGTTAGTGTCTCCCATATTTCCTGGTGGCTGATGTGAAGATATTCTTTGCAGTTTCGTCCTTCAGCTTCTGTTCTGCGCGTTGAACTTGAACTGTGGTCTATCACCAACTTCTGTGAAGACTTTCAACTTGATTTGGAAGGTTCCTTGCACTAGATATTGGTGCTCCTCTTCTTGATCATGTATCCAGTAGGCTGTGTCTCCACTTTCTTCAGACTGAGATGAAGTTGATCTGAGTTTTAGTATGTCTGGTGTCTGGTGAAATCCATGCCGCTGCCTTGTGAATATCCTTGTGTTTGTACACACTGCTTCCAATCACCAAATCGATGAATGTGCAGAAGTCTGCAAACAGTCCTCTGTTGTCATTCATTTCACCGACTGCTTCTCGACCCATGATAAGTTCTCTATCTGTGTCGTCCGGTCCCAGTTTGGCATTCATGTCACCTCACCCATTAGGATAAATTTGATGTCGCCATTTGGGGTGGGGTCTTCTCCATTACTGATTGCAGTTTTTTGTAGAATTCCTTCGTCTTCTCTTGGTCTGTATCTGCATTATTTGTAGGTGCGTAGTGTATCATTGTATGATTGTGACCTTCCTTCCTTCCTTCCTTTTGAGTTGAATCTTGCTGTCATAATCTTGATTCTGGAGGAGATTGGTTACCACTGCATGAGAGCCTTCGATGCTGTTGAATGGGACATCATGATAGCCACTCCAAAACTCAGTGTGCTCGTGGTTGTCGTCTGGGTGACAATATCGGAGTAGATTACTGACTCTCCAGTTAACAATTCGAAAAGCCTCCTTCCATTCAATCTGTTTTCGCAGATTTCTAGCACTTCTATGCTATACCTTCTCATCTATTTGCAATCAGGGTCGCCTTGCTAGCTTCAAACATTGTGCGGATGTAATATTTAATATGCAGTAAATTATAACAAAGTTGTGAATATTGGGAGAGAGATGGAGGTTATTGTTTTGTTAGTAATTTACTAAGTCCAAGGTAGCAACAAGGCTTGAACAAGTTTATTTTGTAAACCGGATTCCGGTTTCTGCATGAATATGATATCAATAAATTTCTTTTCGCCCTATAGGTGACTTTAAACAATGAATCAATTATGATTGACTAAATATTCAATCATTGCACTTCTGATGGACCCATTCGTATATTGTTACAGTTTTTGGCGGGGTCTACAATGTTCTCTAATCTGTTTGAGAAGATCACGCATCGGACAACCTACCTTGGAATCAATTTGAATATTTAAAAGAAATGTGATTATTAAGGGATACATATCATTCGAATTAAGACAATGCTATGATCATCTTATAACACAAGTGTCATAAAGTAATCTAGCACACTACATACGTATATGAGTAGCTTGATAGGAATATACAAGCTAATCCAATATACCATAGCAACCTAAATCTTATCATATACTTCCCTACGGATTACTAATGTGTTACTATTAGTTAGCGTTTCCAGATAATAAAATAAATTCAACATTTACCTGCTTGTTCAACAATGATTCGAAAGTCTAAACTTGTGATATGAGCTGTTCTTTGTGGATCAAAACTTGCAAACAAACGTGACCATGAACGTAGAATATCCCATACACGTCGAAAATCTGATTCACATAATCTTCCTGTTCCATCACGATCAAGAAGAGCTACGAGAGATCGACAAGCATCTGTACTCACCTGAAGTGTTTCAATAAAGGAGGAATAAAATTTCAATGGAAACTAGTGAATCATAATGTTTATGCATGATTATTATCTATGCGCTATATAAATTCATGTCAATATTAGCAGATAATTCAAAAGAATGATTTAAAGCTAATATTCATTATGGATTAACATCAGTTGAAGAACCACTAAAAACTTAGAACAGTTGGATATCTGTTTCGTCCTAGTATGGGACTCGTCATTGGTGCACAACCATGACCTTACCAGCGATCGAACCCATTATCTGCAGGTTCTGCGGTCGGTCCAGATCGAAGCTCAGTGATCCAAATTTCTATACTTTTGCTAATTTGCGACATAGCTCGACATCCATCCAGTACCGTAACTGTCTTAACTAGGCGACTTGATTTCTTCGATCAGTCACAATTTTTCAACAATCAGGAATGATGTCAGTCTGGGATAAATATTAACTTGAAATCAATAAAATAAATCCTTACAAATCTTTAAATAGAATTCAGACCATCCTAAGCAACTTATTTTTGTCAAAAGTAGGCAGTAGCAAATGGAGTGAACGGAATTCCTTCAAATTAGTGAATCAGCCATTGAAGATTTCTTCTATAACACTAGGAGAATTGAAAAGGCTTAAATTTCGTTAAGTGATACATTGGCATATACTGGCCTCCTAGAAAAGTTCTTTAGAGATACACTAATGTAAAATTTCTTTTAAAGCTGAAGTCAGAATTCATTCATCTTGCTGAAGTTTCAAAAGATCTCACTATTGTATACAAACTTCAATCTACAAACTACTGTCAAGGTATCATACACATGGGAATATACACCGGTTTTATGATGGAAAAAAAACTATAGAAGAAAACCTATTCAAAAGAACAATAGAGAAGAGGTATTACCGAGAAACCTGAAAAATGTATCTCCAGCGAATTTAGGCTAAAAAAAAAAGTCTACGACACACTTGCAACAAATGAAGCAGAACAGACTGCAGGTAAAAGAGACCTGATAACACTACATCAAATAACCAGGTTATTATCTGGGAAGAGATCAACGCAGATAAAACCAAGGGAAGATAGTGAAGGAAATTTAGATACCAGAGAGCAGAAACAAAAGAAAAAATAGGCTGACCACTTCAAAAAACCCTTGAGTCAACCACTACAACCAAATGCAACTCATCCTGGAAAACCACCGGCAGCCCACCTACAAAATTATCAGTGAACACAAGCCCTCCAAAAAAGCAGAATTCCTGAACGCCATTCAAAATTACGACCAGAACAAATCATGTACGGATCGAAATACAAAGCTACGCTACGCGTCATCATAGAACAAAGCATAGAATCGCAGAATGGCAACTCTACCTCTCTACCTGAACTTCATCGACTTCGAGAGGCCTTCGACTGCGTCGACCGAGAAGTAATTTGACAGGTAGCTGCTTCAACACTACACTTTTAGTTCCACAAACCTTATTCAACCTCATTCAACGACAGTTATATGATGATGATGATAATCTTGCATGTCGAGTGATCGACAATGGAAAATGCAGTGATGCCTTTTACGTGAGTTGAATATAGGAAGCAGTAAGACAAGGTTGCCGCCTACTATCACCGATCATCTTCCTGATTGTGGTCCAGTGGACAGGACAGGACAGGAGTGTCTGATGTGAGAAACTCTGAGAAGCTGTGAGAAGATGGGCATACGCTAGCCGGACCGATAGAAAGACCCTAGAAGAAGATTTGGATTTCGCCAACTATGATGATTTATGTGTAGAGTTTTGTCGAACATTTACAGGCGAAAAGTAACAAGTTTGCAAAAGAGGTGATGCAGCGAAGATGATACATCCTTCAGATGAACGTAGAGAATACAGAGGTGATGAATATACCCAACCAACAACAACAACAACAACAAACACGGACAAGGGGCACCAATCGCCATGAACGGGAGAAATATAAACAAGGTAGTCTCTTTTATCTACGTTCCTACCTAGGCAGCATCATTTCAACTACACGCGGCACAGACGAGGATGTCAAAGCAGCCAGCATCCGTAAACCAAGACAGGCTTTCACTAATCTGAAATCAATGTGGAGATCTACTGCACTCAGCTTAGAACATAAACAACATCCGGATTTTAAACATCAATGTCAGTCATCTCAGTGCTGCTATTTGGTACCGAAAATTGGCACGTCACGAAAAACACTTCCAACAAGCTACAGACATTCATCAACAGCTGTCCTCTACGTTCACCCCATACTGAAGATCAGATCAGATGTTCAGAAAGAATAAGCAACAAGGAACTCTGGTTGGTGACGAAGCAACGAAGCGAGAACCTATCACTCAACAAATATGCAGAGGAGGAAAGTGGAAGTGGAGATGGATTGGGTATACGTTGAGAAGGCCGATTGGGGACATCACGTGCCAGGCCCGTGCGTCCAGTGGAATCCAAAGGGGAAACGAGGAGTTGGGCGTCGGAGGCGAGGGTGACATGAATGAGATCGTGTGTGGAAGAAGTGAAAGCTTGTGGGCAGTGTTGTAGCGAGGTTCAAAAGACTGCGGAGAACCGAGTGCAATGGAGCCGTGCTACTGAAGCCTCACGGTAAACTAGGAACCCAATGGACATATAATAATAAATAATATAATATTCTGCCGAAGAAGCTATGACTTATACAGAGAAACATTCAGAAATATCTTGTTTTGACTGTTTAAACATGCTGCGATTGTAATAAAATATATTCTTATGATTATTCAATCAGACTCAGCGATCAACTTCTTCCAGGACATTGGCAAAAAAACTACAGTCTCGATGTTTATGAACTTGATTCCACTTTGTTAAAATTTAAAAAACGAGTGAAGCGTATGAAATTCCATAAACAACTGTTTAAAATCATGATTCCTTATTTCAATAGTGATAAGAAATTTCCTCAAAAGATTTAATTTAGTTTCGAGAACTCATAGAAGTAGTGAACCGTGAATACTTGAATTTTGAACAGATGGCTCATTCGTAATGTCTTCACCACGAAATCGCAATGTGGGATTATATTATATATTATTATTTGTCCTTTGGGTTTCTAATGGAACGTAGGGCTTCAGTAGCACGTCGCCATTCCACTATCTTCTCTCAAGTCTTCTCAACCTGATTCCACCACTGCCCACAAGCTATCATTTCTTCCTCACATCATCTACTCCATGTCACCCTCACCTCAGACGCCCAATTCGTCCTTTCCCATCTGCATTCCACTCAAGCCACTGGCCTGGTCTGTGATGTCCCCGAATGGTCTTCTCATTGTATGCTCAATCCATCTCCACTTCCTTCAAGTGCACATTTGTTGAGTGATAGCTTCTTGCTTCCTTGGTTTGTTGATAGCCAGATTTCCTTGTTGTTTATTCTTTCTGGCCACCTGGGCTTCAGAATCTAGCCAGCGTAGACAGTTGTTGATGAATGTCTGTAGCTTGTTGGAAATCCCGTTAGTAACGCGCCAAGTCTATCAACCATACACGGGCACCGACTTGACTGAATTGCTGTTGAAAATCCGGATCTTGTTCACACTTTATGCTGAGTGCAGAAGATCTCCACACCAATCATTTCAGGTTAATGAACGCCTGTCTTGCTGTCTTCCCCATCCTGAATTTCACTTCCTCCTCTGTGCCTGTGTCTGTGACGCCTGTAGTTGAAACAATGCTGTCTAGGAAGGTAGGTGAAAGAGCCTACTTCCTACACGTTTCTCCCATTGATGGTGAAAGCAGCTTGTTGTTGTTGGGTGGGTATCTCCATCACCTCTGTCTTCTCTACATTCACTTGAAGACCCATCTTCGCTACCCTGCATCTTCTGTCAACTTGTTACTTTTTGCTTGTACATATTCAAGTTTGTGTGACATTAGACATAAGTCATCGGTGAATTCGAAATCTTCTAGGATCTTTTCCTCATTCCAGCCAGCCTATCCCCCTCTTCTCACAGCTCCTCACTCTTTGTTGCATGGTCCAGTCCAGTTGACCACAATCAGGAAGATCATCGGTGATAGTAGACAACCTTGTTTTACTCCTTCCTGTATTCACTTCAAAGGTATCACTGAGCTTCCCATTGTGAATTACTTGGCATGTGGCGTCTTCATATAGTTGTTGAATGAGGTTGATAAAGGTTTGAGGTATTCCATAGTGTTGAAGCAACTTCCAAATTACAAAGTCATGGATGTAAATTATTATTAATGAGTCTTATACTAGAATAAAACAGCTATCTAGTTCTCTTAGGCTTTCAATAGTTCTTCATCTGTTGTCAATCCATGATGATAAACAATTTGTATGAATGTACAACTTGGTAATCCTTCTTTTCAATAAATTTGCAAAGAAAAAAAAATCGGTTCTTCTGAACTGTATACATAATCATTAGCGTTGAATGAACATCACTCTTTATTGTCATAGTCCATAATGAATGATATAACCAATAAATAACAACAAAATGAAACTGGAAAACTTTTTGATATTTGGCACAAGAAAAAATTACAAGTTGAACATATGAAGTGTAGCTTTTTTTAAATTATGAAAGGTTTGAGGGGTTCCTAGTGGAATATAGGACTTCAGTAGGATGTCACCATTTCACTCTCTTCTCTTCAAGCTTCCTAACCCAGCTCCATTACTTCTTACAAGCTTTTATTTCTTTCTCACACCATCTCTTACATGTCACCCTTGAACGACCAACTGATCGTTTACCCTTTGGGTTGCACTTGACGGCCTGGTTTGGCCTGCTGCGTGATGCCCTCAAATTGTCTTCTCAGTGTATGTCCAATCCGATCCATCTCCACTTTCTTCTGCATATTTGTTCGGCGATAGGTTGTTGATTGATTGGTTCGTTGACACCTAGAGTTCCTTGTAGCTTATTCTTTCTGGCCATCTGATCTGATCTTTAGTATCAAGTGAACGTAGGCGGCAGCTACTAATGTATGTCTGTAGTTTGTTGGAACTGCTTTCGTAACGCGCCAAGTCTATCAACAATCACATGAAAGCGATGACTTACTTGATTGACTGTTGAAAATACGGGTCTTTTTCTTTATGATGGGAAGATTGCTACATACCAAACTATTGCAGTTAGGTTTAGACACAAGAAATAAACAGTAATATTTGAATACTCTTCATTTGGTAACCGGTTATGTAATCCTACTCAACTTGCTGTACTCTTTTGGATAAGCAAATGTTTTATATTGGGTGACGATTGAAGGTGGAATGCAAATCTTAGCCATGGTAAGACTGAAACCGGTGATCTTGAAGTTTCCACCTCGGTGCTATGCCAACTGCACTACTGGTTCTTTTAGCTTAGTTAGTAGAGCACCGAGTAGAAACCCAGTGGTCATTGGTTCGAATCTTGCCGGGGCCCAGATTTTCGTCTGTATAGCTTGGAAGTTTTGAACAATTGAAGGAATGAAGCAAATGAAAACAAGACGTTCATGCCTAGAAAATTACATCGAAGTGAATTTAGTTATTATACTCAAATGTTTAAAGAAATCATCTTCAAAACCAAACAAGTATATAAGAAGTCAACCTATCCTACATACCATATTATATGGGGCTCGATGATCATCCCGTAGAAGGCAGTTAAGTATCGGTTCCAATTGGAATGCATCAACAGCCATTGATTCACCCGAAGCTTCATAAAATAAACGTCTAAGTCGTGGTTGAAATAATTCATAGTTAGGATCAGGTTCTGGTCCAGTCGCAGCTAAACCGCTAAGTTCTACTCGTTCAAGCGTAGATCTGTAAATAAAGGCAAAAAAAAGGGATAGGATACAATATTTATTTTTATTCTAACAAATAAAAAGGATTTCTCTAACTCTATTTTGAAAGTTTCATATCTCAAAACTCAGATAAAATGAACTGGTCAATGTCCTCATCGAGTCATTTAGTAATTTCAAGTATCCTGCTTTTTGATGACTAATTAGCCATATGCCTCACAGACTTCTACCGTAACTAACTTTATTCAAATAATGAATAATAGTAGTAATGGAAAACATTAAGTAACATTGTATTAATTCCAGTATAATTGCTTGTATTATATCGTCATTGATTGGACCAAATCGGTCGGTCTCTGTAATATACAATAATAGTAATGATAATAATAATATAACACAAACAATTATACTGAAACTATATCCGTTCCTTAAGAAGCAGGTATCATGGCTCGGTGGTCTAGTGGATAACGCTGTGGCGATTGAACCGACCACTCCCGAGTTCGAGTCCCAGTGGGAACAATATCACTCACTATGGGAGGCATTTACATCAAACTTATGAGTCCTATGTAGAACGAAATGCGCATCCTAGATTCTACGGGTAGCCACTATCCATCATTATTATACTAATTCATTAAAGAAAATGTGAACAACATCCGAGTTGGTCAGAGAAAGTGAGTACCTGAGATCTACCAATCCAAGAAATAATACAGTCAAGAAAACTATTAATCATGGATCGTAGCTGGCAGTGGAATGCAGAATGCGCATTTCGTCCTATTTAGGATTCGTCAGCTGGATGTACCTGCCTCCCAGTGAGTGATGTTATTCCCAGCGGGATTCGGACTCGGGAGTGATCGCTTCAAACGCCATAACGTTATCTACTACACCACCAAGCCACAATAGCCACTTCTTGTGAGACGGGTATACTCTTAGTGTTATTGCTTGTATTACATTGTCGTTGATTGGATCGAATTGATCAGTCTCTGTTGGCATATGGGCGCCTGTGCGGATGCCTCGATGTTGCCTGCGTTCTAACTATATTAATGATGTATCGTGGCTAGCAGTGGAATCCAAGATGCGCATTTCTTCCTATTTGTGTCTCGTTAGCTGGATTGATACAAGCTACTGATACAAGAAGTTGAATGTTTCTTTCAGTGGATTCAACCAAAAAATATGGATATATAAATGAATTGCTAAGGAAAGTGTTTTTAACTGTCCAACTTTTGATTTTCCCCCCCCTCCACCGGCGAAATTTGACTGGTGTACCTTTTACTTTCACTCAATTCCAACTCTGATTTCACTCTTCTTTAGCTTTCAATAGAGAGTAAAATATTATTATAATTTTCCAAAGAGATGATGGAGAATATTTGTAGCTCAAGGGAATGATTTTGGTTGTGTTGTGTTTTCTGATCTGAATGATATAATCGTGAAGCTTTCATCGTCATTCTAGACAACATCGTTAGCACAAACTTCAGAAAAAAGGGCGCTATGGGATTTTCTCTATAAATAGCATCGTAGAATGCTTGATGACCTTGTGTGTGATTAACTGTTCCCGGCAAAGTCATGGGATTATCTTTATGCTTATTTCGATTGGTCGTCCTGTTGACATGAAAGTTGAACTCCATTTTGTTTCTTGTGCTTCTTATTGGTTGATTGATTACGTAATTTTTTATATGGTTATTGATCACCGATTGACATGGATACCAAGCTTCTAAAAATTCCCTGTCATCCTTCGTATTCCCTCCCTCTGGCAGTCCCATATTTAAATTTGTGATTTGTGAGGATTTAGAGATTTTTTCAAGTTGATATTCACCATGAACTGCCAGCAGTTGGAGGAGCATTGGAAACCTGAGAGTGCTGGAAAGCTGTTCCATCCGACTAGTATGGGATTCTTTAGTAGTGGGCACCCGTGACCTTCAGGCTCCGTGGCCAGCACTTTACCATTGAGCTAGACACTGGACCGGAATCCAATGGTCCATATTTCCAACTGTTGTCAGTTCACGACATAGCTCAACCATAGCCTAATGTAATTGTAGAGTATTTGTTGTCACAGCAACCAGGTTTGGCCCACCGGTCGTGACTTCTTATTGAAACTTCGGGAATCACCTCTCGAAGCTAGTCACCAATTACAGCAGACAGAAGTTGGAAACATGGCCCAGTTGCTAGCTTAATGGTAACGTGTTGGCCACGGAACCTGAAGGTCGCGGGTTCAATCTTTAGCGGGCGGGTCGTGGGTGAACACTGTTGAGGAGTCCCATACTAGTCAGATGAAACAGCTGTGAAGTGCTCCCAGGTTTCCAGTGTTTCTACAACTGATGTCAGTCGATGATGTATACCAACTTGAAAAAAGTTCCACATTTTCCCAGTCAAATTCATGTCAACAGTTGTCAATATCCATTGTAATGAGCAAAAAAATGTTATGACGTTTCGCAACATCTCAAGGTCACGACAAGGTTATTTAAGCGTTTTAGAATCGCTATAGCTCACAAGCCCAAAAACTCTCTTCACCATCTGTTATCCAAGCCAGAAGATACAACAACGAAGGAAGACGAAATAAACGCTAGCTACAAAATAAACTGCAGAAACTACAAAAAGCACTATATCGAACAGAGTGATCGCCTTCTCCGTATCCGTCTACATGAACATCCTCACTCATATCAATCAATATGGACAACTATGGAGATGAATTTGACTATAACCATCATACCAGTTAGGGCTATCATGACTTCATTGTCTAGTTGGATAATTCTCTGGCGTTTGAAGTGACTGAATTTTGGCAGCAACATCACTAACTGGGAGGCAAATATTTCTAGCTGACGATTCACAAATAGTACGAAATGCATATTGTAGATTCCACTTTTAGTTAATATCCATCACTAATATAAAATAAAAGGATTTACATATGAATCAATCACTTACTCACAAATCCTATCCGAATGATCAAATAATAAGCGTAATAGAAATTCACCTGGTTGATCAGCTGCATAAGTACATGGTACAAGAAGATAGTGACCTGGTGTTAATTTTAGCCGTTTAACAACTTCTCTAGAATCAAAAAAAAATCTACACTGGCTATATGATGATTAGTTTCAAAAAATCCACGTGACATTGGAGGATTAGCACCAGATGGAAGCTGAAAATAAGAAAATAGAATGTATAAAAGAGGTATAGAAAAGAGTGGGTTAAGAAGAATTTTCTGTACATTATTGTAGCACGGAACGGTCATTTCATACTATTATGAGAATATATAGCAGTGAGCACTCACGAACCAGATAGGGATCAAACTTATGACCTTCAGGGTTTCACGGTGAAGATGCTAACCATTCAGGCATTGGCTCAGATTTCAATGGTCATAAGTTTTCAACTTCTGTTAATTCGTGATATAGCGTGACTATTACTCAAGGTCCCTAGCCGAGTCAGGATCGACTGCTTTATATCCACTGAAGGTATTTCCACACATAAATTCAAATCACCTTTTATTTTTTACTATTATTATTTGTCCCTTGGGTTCCTAGTGTAGCATAGAGCTTCAGTAGCACATCGCCATTCCACTATCTTCTCTCAACTCTTTCCAACCTAGCTCAACGACAGCCCACAAGCTCTCATTTCTTCCTCATATCATCTCCTCCATGTCACCCTTACCTCGGACGCCCAATTCCTTTTTCCCCATCTTCGTTACATTCGAGCAACTGGCCTGGTAAGTGATGTCCCGAATGGTCTTCTTACTGCATCCTCAATCCATCTCCACTTCCTTCAAGTGCACATTTGTTGAGTGATAGCTTCTTGCTTCCTTGGTTCGTTACCCAGCCACAGGTGCTTGTTGTTTATTCTCATTATTCTGGCCATCTGATCTCCATCTTCAGTAACAAGCCAGCGTAGACATCGTCGAATTCGAAATCTTCTAGGATCTTTTCCTCAGTCCAGCTAGCGTATCCCCCTCTTCTCACAGCTCCTCACTCTTTGTTGCATGGTCCAGTCCAGTTGACCACAATCAGGAAGATCATCGGTGATAGTAGACAGCCTTGTTTTACTCCTTCCTGTATTCATATCAAAAGCATCACTGAGCTTCCCATTGTGAATTACTTGGCATGTGGCTTCTTCATATAGTTGTTGAATGAGGTTGATAAAGATTTGTGGCACTGAAACCATAGAGTTGAATCAGTTGCGAAATTACTTGTCGGTTGACGCTGTCGAAGGCTTTTTCAAAGTCGATGGAATTGAGGTAGAGTTGACCGCTATCTGTACTCTGTTCTATGATGATGTTTAGCGTTGCAATTTGATGCGCACATGATTTGTACTTCTTGAATCCAACCTGTTATGGTCGTAGTTTTGAATCCAGCGAATCCTTTAGGCTCTCCAGGATGATGTGGATTAATATTTTACTTTGGGTGGACAGTAGCGTGATTCCAAACGAGTTCTTGCAAAGACTCAGATAGTCCTTCTTCAGGAGTTTCACGAAATAGACCTTCTACCGATCGCCAGGTACCTTCCCTTCTTTCCACACCTTCTGCAATAGTGGTGTGGTGTGAGCATGTCCTCTGTTGTCTCCGCGTCTGCTCCCAGTATGCCTGGAGGAATTTCACCTGGTCCTGCTGCTTTCCCACATTTCAGTAGCTTTATGGCACTCGGGACTCTGACTTTCGTTGGAGGATTTGTGTTCACTTGTAGTTCAGAGGCTGTAGGTGGTATTTCTGGACGAAGTGCAGGTGGTGGTCGGTTCAAGAGCTTCTTGAAGTGGTCGGACCATTGTTTCCTTTGTTTCTCTTTCTTCGTAATTAAATTTACCTCATCATCTTTTGTTGGTTTCATGTGTGTTAATCTCTTCCCAGATAGGAACCTGGTTATGTATACAAAAATAATTTATAATCCTGTTGAACCTACTTTAGTAGTGTATTTCTTTTAATGCTTACACCAAGAGTGATGTGATTTCGATTTTGTTATTCTTCATTGATTCATTTTTGCAAATTTTAAAAAAAAATAGTTCAACAGTTCCTTAGGTGATTAGAGTGTTTGTGATGTATAGCACTAATACATCAAGTTTCTGATTATTTTGTTCCTTTCATCAAGCTATTTAGAGCCAAAATGCAGTTTTTCACCTAATTTCTCATAAATTAGTGAAGAATGAGGAGACTATAAGTGTTCAATGTTCTTCTAACGTTTTTAGTTGAAAGATAATCGTCATACATTTCAGAATGGTGAATATGTGCCATTTTCCGAAGTAAAAGGCATAGTCGAATTACGTAGTTATGAACCTAGAAAAATCACTGTAGCAAGAATCAATCCATTCTCTATTGGCTATGTGTCCCTGTACTTGACGGCGTCAGCATTATTTGTTATTTGTCCATTGGGTTCCTGTTGGAACATAGGCCTTCAGTAGCACGTCTCCGTTTCACTCTGTTATCTCCAGTCGTTTCAAATTGGCAGTGCAGTGCAGTGGATCTCCAAACTGATTACTTTAGTTAATGAAGGCCTGTCTAACTGTCCTTCCGATCCCAGCTGCTATGACATCCTCATCTATGTCTGCGTCACCTGTAGTTGAAACAATGCTGCCTACGTGGGTAGGTAGGTAGGTAGGTAGGTAGGTAGGTAGGTAGGTAGGTAGGTAGGTAGGTAGGTAGGTAGGTAGGTAGGTAGGTAGGTAGGTAGGTAGGTAGGTAGGTAGGTAGGTAGGTAGGTAGGTAGGTAGGTAGGTAGGTAGGTAGGTAGGTAGGTAGGTAGGTAGGTAGGTAGGTAGGTAGGTAGGTAGGTAGGTAGGTAGGTAGGTAGGTAGGTAGGTAGGTAGGTAGGTAGGTAGGTAGGTAGGTAGGTAGGTAGGTAGGTAGGTAGGTGAAAGAGACTACCTTGATTATATTTCTCCCGTTCATGGCGATTGGTGCCCCTTGTCCGTGTTTGTTGTTGTTGTTGTTGTTGGTTGGGTATATTCATCACCTCTGTATTCTCTACGTTCATCTGAAGGATGTATCATCTTCGCTGCATCACCTCTTTTGCAAACTTGTTACTTTTCGCCTGTAAATGTTCGACAAAACTCTACACATAAATCATCATAGTTGGCGAAATCCAAATCTTCTTCTAGGGTCTTTTCATCGGTCCAGCTAGCGTATGCCCGTCTTCTCACAGCTCCTCACAGTTTCTCACATCAGACACTCCTGTCCTGTCCACTGGACCACAATCAGGAAGATGATCGGTGATAGTAGGCGGCAACCTTGTCTTACTGCTTCCTGTATTCACCTCACGTAAAAGGCATCATTGAGCTTTACATTGTCAATCACTCGACATGCAAGATTATCATCATCACCTACAACTGTCATTGAATGAGGTTGATGAAGGTTTGTGGAACTAAAAGTGTAGTGTTGAAGCAGCTACCTGTCAAATTACTTCTCGGTCGACGCAGTCGAAGGCCTCTCGAAGTCGATGAAGTTCAGGTAGAGAGGTAGAGTTGCCATTCTGCGATTCTATGCTTTGTTCTATGATGACGTGTAGTGTAGCGTTGCAATTCGATCCGTACATGATTTGTTCTTCATGAAACCAGCTAGTCTGTTCCAGAGCAGTTTCTAGTCTCTGCAGGATGATGTGGCTAAATATTTTGCTTAGAGTGGACAGGGGTGGAGGATGATTCTGTGCCAGTTCTTGAAAAGATATAGGTCACCCTTCTGTGGGAGTTTTATAAGGTATTCCTTCTTCCAACTGGTAGGTAACTTTCCTTCCTTCCTTTCTTCCTCGCAAACCTTCTGCAATAGTGGTGTGATGTGAGCATGTTCGCTGCTGATATCTCTGCGTCTATTTTTGGTGCTTCTGAAAGTATTCCATCTGGTCCTGCTGCTTTCCCTAATTTCAGTAACTTTATGGCATTCAGAACCTGAGTTTCAGATTTTGTTGGAGGGCTTGTGTTCACTGAGTTCTGGGTTGCTGGTGGCATTTCTGGTCGAGCTGCATGTGGTTGAAGTGGTTGACTTAGGAGCTTTTTGAAGTTGTCATTCCATGGTTTCCTTTGTTTCTCCCTCTTGGTAACTAAGTTTCCTTCACTATCTTCCCTTGGTTTTATCTGCGTTGATCTCTTCCCAGATAATAACCTGGTTATTTGATGTAATATTGTCAAGTCTCTCTTACCTTTAGCCCGTTCTGTTCCACTTGCGAGTGTGTCGTAGAAGTATCTTATGTCATTTCGTACACTCTTCTTCACTTCTTTGTCCAGTGTTTTACACGTAGTACTCAGTTCCTCTTTTCTTTGTTCATCCCTGAACTGCACTGGTTCATCTTGTGCTTCACCATCTTCCTCTCCTCTACCAGCTTCCATTTATCTGTGGAGATCCATTCCTTGTCTTGCTTATTCTTTCTTCGTAACACGCTTGGTAAAATGCAAATAATGTTCAAATTTCAATCTTTTTGAACAGCCTTCTGCTACTCAGTTCTTATGACAAGAGATTTCGTGAAAACTGAATGTCCTTCTCAGATTAACCTCTTTTTCGAGATTCTCAGCAAAGATAAGGATTCACCCCCTAACCAATCACTATTGATCATAGCTATGATGTCAATCACAGGTCTAAGTTGAGTTTCGTCCCTAGCCCAAATACTTACCAACAGTTACTTGTTTTGAAGATATTCTGTTCACCTCTTTTGACTCCTGATCCCCACCGCTTCATGTGTGCATTTTAAAGCATGTCTAGCATCTATATTGTACGCTAAATATACTCAACCTAGTTACGCATCAATTACATACTCAGCAATCTCATATTCGAAACGAATAAAGAGCCTTTAGATGTGGGCATCTATTCAAGCATAAACATATATGATCTGGTATCCAGAAATCATATTTCTCAAAGTAAAAGCTTCAGGAAACAAATACACATGATACTGGGTGATGATTGAAGATGAAATTAAAATTTGGACTGCGGTCGGATTTGAACCAGTGACCACCGGGTTTCCAGCCCAATGCTCTACCAACTGAGCTATGAGGTCTGACTGCTGACTAGATTTTTATTTTACTTCAGTCAATAGGGGTTTCGCCCGACTACCATATGAATTCGTCATGCGTTGCTACCGCTTGATTGTATTTAAGCTGGCTACCTAGACCGAACTTCTCATCCCCATCCAAATCTAACCGAATAATAGAGGGCAAGCATCACATATTGATTA